TTATGGGTTTCCTGAGCGCAGACTGGTCCCTAGGCTCTTCTCCCTCACAATCAAGTCTATCCGGGTGGGATAACTCCAAGACCCCGGATGTAGTAGCAGGAGTGATATGCTGGGTGCCGGAAGAAGTGGACAGGGGGCTAGGCGAAACAAAAGTACCGTCGCCCTTGTTCTTTTTGGGAAGGAAATCATCATCGGAGACACCTTCCCGTGGCCGTTTTTGGGACGGGGTGGGTCTCCTTAGCCCAGGAATGGCACGGCTTTCAAGGCAGCTGCCAGCATGTGGATAGTCAAAGCAGTGGAGCTGCCTTGGGCTTGATCCCCGAAGGAGCTCACAGCTGGGGGAGACTTTGCAGCAGGAGGAGCCTTTGGCCTTTCAGGGGAAGGCTCCCCTTCAAATGGAATCGGGTCAGGACCCAGGGGGTAGTAAAAACCTGCCTTCTTGTACAGTTTAGCATCTTGGAGAGAGTGGTGGGAAATTAAGCCCTCCTTCTCCCTCAAGGCATTATACACTCCCTCCGCTAAGTCTGCTGCGGCGAATTTCGTCCAGGAAATGGAACGCCGGAGAATAGCACCCGGAAGGTCAAGGGGACTGTGATCAGGGAACTCTATGACGAAGTATTTTAGTGACCATCTGTCGATCTTGAGCTCAACCTTCTCAAAAATTGGGAAATGGTTGTGAGGATATAGGCTATAGAAGGGGAACCCCCCAATACTGAAAAGCATAAGGAATTTCTCCAAATTTGGGACTCTGTCCAGGGCACAACACCTCAAGATGAAGGACGCGACATACTTGTGCGTGTTGGCGGTCAGTTGACCCGGGGCAAATCCGAAGTGGAGGCAGAGATCGCGGAGCAGACCGTGGAGGGGCAACCTAAATCCATTCTCCACGGAGTGGTACTGCATGACCATATATTTCTGGGGATTTGGATTGTAGGATAGACTGATCCCCCCAACGGCATCGGGATGGTGGACCCGGAAGCCCTTGCCCAGGAGCACGGCCATCTCTCGAAGTTCGCTCTCCTTGATAATGGAGGGTCCATGGGTCTAGGTTTCAGGATTCGTAGGGGCCATTCTGGAAAAGGAGACAAGGATTTTGGGGGAAATTGCAGTCAGAATTCGGGTCGGGTTTAGATTCGATAGTGAGAGGAAGAAGACGAGTCCAGAAGAGGGTTTTTATCCGTTGAAAGGGTGGGCCCGATGTACTCGAGTGCGACGTTTCTAATCCGACACGAAGGTCGAAGGCGGCTCATCATTAGTTTTCTAGCAACACGTCGCCAGAAAACTAGGGGGCTTGTGATGGATATCGGGTCTGGTAGACCCGACTCCAGGCCCAAAGGGAGACCTGTAATAACCCGAAAAGGTGGAAAATCAGTTTAAACAATGGGCCGAGCCCAATATTGCGCAGATGACGGATAGAGGAAGACGGCCCAGTCATGGAATGAATTGAAGTGACCCAGTCCAAGAAAGGAGTGGGACACGTGGCCCACATCATGAGGCTATATGCGGAGTGGGAAGAGAACGAGACCGGAAAAGAGGGAATCATAATCCCATGATCTCCATAATCCATTTCCATTTTGTATAATTTTAATTATGATATGAGAAAGACTATAAAAGGGGGGAAAACCCGCCATTGTAAGACACAACGCGACAATTGAATACACAATCAAAGAATATTATCGAGTGATTATATCTCCTTAAATTCATATTTCGTTCTTGGTCCGCCATCTGATCGGGTTAATCCCATCACATATCAACTTCAGAAACCTTTCTTACGAAGTCAAGCTTGGATAATGAAAGAACATCTAATCTTACGAAGGACAATAATCCTAGGAATTTCTTACAAAGGCCTGTTAATCTTCATTCCAATCTCTTACGGTCCATCATTCTTGTCATTTAAATCCTTCACACAAATGTTACATGTCTTTTTTCTTATTTTTGTTTTAAAATATTACAAATGTTGAAATGCACATACTAAAAAATTTCAAAAAAAAAATTGAAAATGAAAACTAATCATAACTCACTTCTTATCTTTTTAATTGAACTAAAGAAAATCATCAGCCTCTTTTGCCAATTTGAGATAAAACAACAAACTGCCTCCAAATATGTATGCTATGCCTCCTCATAAATGATGCTTGGTATATTTCACATCGTTCATAAAAATAACCGTTACTATGATTCAATGCATTTTATATTCAACACTAATATTCGATTCTGGGATCATGTTCTTTCATTCACTTAGATAAATTGTTAAAAGCGTCGGTCAAATATCATATCATCTTATTTGTTCTTATATGTGGTTTCTCTACGGGTTTACTTTCATCATTTCATTCAAGGGTAAACCACGCCTAGCATACTGAATTCGCAATTTTGTGTACTAATGTAGTACTATATACATGGTGTGTGACGAAGCTAAAATATAGCGGTAAGTCAACAAATAACCGAGTTAGACTCGGGTCGTTCTCTCCTTCGCTGTCTGCTGAGCTTTTGCCGCCTCCGCCTTCTGACTGGCGGCCAGGCAGGCTGCCGCCGGCCAGGTCGCCCGTCAGGCCGCTGAAATCTGCCAATGCTACCTTCCTCAAAATTTCGTTCCGAACATTTTTTCCTTCTGCACCGACTTCTAGTTCCGCACCGTTTGTGAGATAGAATTGTTTTTCTATTAAAATTTACTCTTTTTCTTTATACTTGGCCCAATTTTATATATTATTTCAAAGACATTCTTTTTAAGATCAATTCATCAAAACATATGTTTTTGATAAAAAAGAATAAATAATTTATTGTTTTGATAATAAAAATGGTACAAGAACAAACTAAATATGAGTAAAAAGATAAGTACAAAACTGACTTATCAATCTCCTCACACTTAAACGTTGCTTGCCCTCAAGCAACTCATCATCTACCAACACAAGAATAAAGAAGATTGTTGATTATTTTCTAAAATCCTACCTTCTTGCAATAATCAGTTAATTTCATTAGCATTAATTACTTCATCTTTTTCTTTATATTCTAACAACTAAATATCTCATCACTCATTTCAAAGATTTGACAATGAACTTATTTAAAAGTTTGCGTAAGTAGTCTCTTGGTCCACTTATCTCTTTTTTTTTGTGAGTTATCCCATAATGCCCTTTTTATTGCTTATGAATTGATTTTTTTTTCTTTTTTTTTTCTTTTTTTAATAATAGAAGGGCAGACCTCCAAAGGAGATAGAATACTCAACGCAGCACATAAGCGCAAACAATTGGAATAATTGTTTGGGTTGTGGGTTTATCCCATTACTTATGCATACTTGCTCCCTCGCCTTATGCGATTCACGGGAGAAGCAGAGCTCCTCTCGGAGATAGGATTCCCAATTCGTCACTAAAGCGCAACCCTCACAATTATCTTTCTTTATTTATTTCAATTAAATAGAAAGTGACCAAAAGACTTTTGATCATTATGTAATTAACAACCTTAAGTTACTCAACTAAAACCCAACTCATGCACAATTTTAAATAAAGGTTCATTGTTAAACTTAAAAATGAGTAAATGATTATTTAATTTATTAGAAAATAAAAGAAAAATGTAAAGTAATTGAAAACTAATTCATTAACTGATTATTGATCAAGAAA